GAACTGTGAGATCGTGACCTGAGTGGAAATCAAAAATCAGAAAGCTTAACCAACTGAGCCACCCAGGTGCCCCTCAAGGAATGAATTTTATTTTTTATTTATTTATTTATTTTTAAAATTTTTTTTTCAACGTTTATTTATTTTTGGGACAGAGAGAGACAGAGCATGAACGGGGGAGGGGCAGAGAGAGAGGGAGACACAGAATCGGAAACAGGCTCCAGGCTCCGAGCCATCAGCCCAGAGCCTGACGCGGGGCTCGAACTCCCGGACCGTGAGATCGTGACCTGGCTGAAGTCGGACGCTTAACCGACTGCGGCACCCAGGCGCCCCTCAAGGAATGAATTTTAAAACAAATGTAACTGTTTCGTAGGCGCTGAAATCAAACTTTCTTTTGGTACATCTTATGTGGCAACTTGCAGAAAATGGAGCTAATATGCAAGTAGTTTGCAGGTAGCATCTGCATACTTCCCATATGCACCTTACCATATACATCAAAGGGGTTCAGGATGCCAGGTGACCCTGGGTATGCATGACCTTCATGGCTGTCCCCACTGAGGCCTCCTAACTTACTGCACATCTGAGTAGGATGACCCATCCTCCTTCCTAACAATATACATGGAATTAATATATTTTCATAGGATTTCATGGACATGTCTCTCAAATGCTATTTCAGGGTATAAAAAACTATGTTGGCAATGGATATCACCAGGTTTATCTGTTGTCTTTGACACTGATAATTATTAATGCATATTTTAATGATTGCGAAATATTCAATAAAACTAAGAAGTTTTAGATATCTGGATAGACTAGAGGCAGTCTATATTTAAATCACTGAGGAAATATAATTGAGGTCAGTGACAGATAGTTCTGAATCTTGATTAAAAAGTGAATTTTCTAAACAAGTTCCTGCCTTGTGATCATTGCCGGATTACGGTTAGGATAGCCATGGTCCTAATGGGCATAGAGGAAGAGGTTACCTTACACTCTGGCCTTTCTATGCCTTTGCAATAATTTTAATAGCATCACGTAAATATGAAAGAAAACAGGATCCAGAAAACCTCTATCTATGGACCCAGGAAATATTCTGAGCCTTCAGTTGTAGAAGACCAGCTTGCTTCTCAGCACATTTAAATTTTACTCCGTGAAATAAGATGTTCTGGAGACCCTCTCTCTGAAACTCTCCTTGTTATTTCTTTTAACTGGGAGCCTGGCATCCTGGGACTCTTGCTGGCCATTTACAAGAAACTTTGTCTTTAAAATAAAAAGCATCTATTTTATTCTGAGAGGCAACAAACAGTAGCTTCAAAGAGAATTGAGTCAATGTGTGACATTTATCTTGAGAGCAAACGGACATAATCTTCTCTCTCCCGTGTCTCTTTTCAGAGGAACAGTGCAGCATGTGCTGGGGCACAGGGTCACATGAAAGAAACCTCCCTCCTCAAGTGTCACGTCTCTCTAGCAGGGGGGAAAGGCTACTGAGCGGTGGACTCTTTAAGGAATGAAATACACCATGACCTGGCAACAACTGAATCCTGTTCAAAAAAGAGGAATAAGGTCAGACCTAAAAGACACTTTTTTTCCCCCCATGGTTTGGACTTCCCTTGACCTAAAGAAGGTCGAAGAAATGCTGGGGTCTAAATTACTCAATACAGGATTGGCTTTTCTAGCACATATCTCTTTGTAACTCTAGAATCAACTTTATGTGCCCTTTTTGCAACATTTTTGGAAAACAGCTTTAAAACGTGAGCCCTGATTGAAATCAGGATGGTGCTGTAGTTATTTTTATGGATTTTTGTGTGTGTGTGTGGGTTATTGTTTGGGTATTTAAATTATTGGGCAACAGATAATTTTCTTTCTTTGGTGCAAGAAACTAGCCACACTATTCATTTTGAATTAAATGAAGATTTCTTTCTAAGCTAAAGGAAAAAAATAATAATGAGAGATGCTTAGAAACATGGGTGACAGCCCTCACCACATTCTCCTAAATGCTTTCTTGGTATGTCCAAGTTACATCTGAATCTAGCCCCGGGTCGCCCTGAAGCCCACACTATCGAGTGTAGAAGGGGTGGGGGACTGGATGGAAAAGACCCATCTTTCTTTCCACTTCTAAGATTAAAAAATCTGTAACAGCAACCAAATCATCTCTCTGTGATATGAAGGTAAATAACAGAATTAAATAGTCTATCCGCTCCTCCTTAACCCATAATCTAGTTAGCATGCCGCGAAGTGATGACATCGCTTTAACTGAGAGGGGCACACAGGCACCCTTCCTCCTGTTTGCAACCCAGGGAGCAAGAAAAAGAACTCAAATTTAGGATGGGCACACCGAACATTTTTCAAGGGGCCATTTCAAGAGCCCTCGTGTTTGTCTTCACAGCAATCTTTCCTCTTGTGTGAGTTTTACAAAATGGGTGATTTTTTCCTACAGTTATTGGTCAATGGAACTGTTTTACCAACTCATGGCTTGTGCACAGAGGCACGTGGAGAACAGGTGACTTGGGTACCAGTCAACCAGGAGGTGGTTGCAGAGACACAATCCAAGAATTTCCTCTCTCTCCTCTCTCAGTTTGGTCATTTTGAACATGCATTGATTAAAAGAGTAAGTGTTTTAGCAATAGAAGAAATCCAGTAATAAGAAAAGAAAAGAAAATGATTGTTTCTAGATCTCCGTGTTAAATTCTGCTGAGAAGCTCGTTGCGATGGTTTCATGAATTAAACGCATTTAAACCATGAAGGGAACCTATCTTTTCCTTTGGGTATGTATCCTACAACCAAACAGGCAGAAAGTCTACCGTGCACTGGAAGTTCATGACCTCTTTCACATCTTTACATGCATCTAAGCCCTGGAGTGAAAAAAATGATACTTCACCACTGTTGCTAGCTAACTCAAGACGTTTTACAATGACAAAGCGGCCACAACGTGCCTTCAGGAGACACAATTTTATCAGTTACCTCTTTCTGAGCCTTCAGTCAACTAACATTTATTATTAATTTTATATAAGCTTTTCTAAGTAACTGAAGTCCATATGAATTTGTAGTGTAAATACCATAAGTGCATTCATTCAGTAACCAGATACAGAGAATATTTATAAAACTACATTCAAAAATTTTTGTTAATGTTTATTTATTTTGAGAGAGAGACAGAGTGCAAGCGGGGGAGGGGGTGAGAGAGAGGGAGACACAGAATCGAAGGGAGGGGTGGAGAGAGAGGGAGACACAGATTCCGAAGCAGGCTCCAGCCTCCGAGCCGTCAGCACAGAGCCCGACACGGGGCCTTACAAGCCATGAGATCATGACCTGAGCTGAAGTCGGACGCTTAACCGATTGAGCCACCCAGGCGCCCCTGTATTTTATATACAGCCATGCCTTTCTTCCTGCTGCTCCCCTAAATGAAATTTCTATAAATGAGGGGTGATTTTCTCCATTGCAAGATTACCCAGCTCCCTTTGCTCTTCTCCTGGTTTCCTAATTTTAGCCATTTCACCAGATGGCAGGTAAAAAGTGAGGAGAAATGAAACTTGGAATGGATAAACATTTCAGGATTTTATGGACCCTTCAGAAACTCTGGAGTGACTGGTTTGGATCACTTAGAGTCATAAAATTTCCAGGTATCCATTTCCTTAGTTCTATTCTGCTGTTTACACAAGTTTTAAAACAATTAGAATTAGTGCATAGAGCTCACTCAGCAATTTAAATGGAAATTTGTCTGAAGTGCATCAAACCAATGTTAGCAGCGACCATTCAATTATTTGCCATTCATCAATGTGGCTGCAAATAATCAAAGCTGGCTAGACATACACAACAGCAGTGTTTACACTGACGAGGGCACACATAGTCTACTTCCTGTTCCAATCTGACAGGATATCCTCGGGAGACATCTGAAACTCCATACCTCCATCCCGGGACCATGAATTTACCATACGCACAATTTAAAAACAACCCAGCACAAGATGGGATGCTTCCACCGTGAGAACTCAAGTGACTAACTTTCTCCCTCAGACGAGTCACTTGTGAATGTCAGGGCTCCACAAGACAACTACTTCTCCTTTGGAAACACTGTCCTCCCAAGAAAAACTTATGATTCAAATTTTCCACATGCACATGCCTTCAGAATCTGATTGGATTTGAATTAAAAAAAAAAAAAAAAAGCATCTGCAGGAAATGCTTTGATTATGTCTGAATGACAATATTCTTTAGGGTTCTTCTATGGCAAGAAATTACAGAAGAACAGGGTAAGTGGGAAAGGTTTAAATTCCACACACACACACACACAAATAATAAAAATGCTAACATAAAAGTATACAGTGTGATAAATTAGGGCAGAGTAGTTACTGTATACAGAAGTCCATTTGTGATGGGAGGTAGCAGGAGGGTGGGCTCTCCCTTGTCCACTGTATCAAAAGCAGCGGGTTTTTGTGGGTTTTTTTTTATCCCCCTATGTTCACTGATGCCATGCACTCCATGACAAAGCTGCTTTGATCTTCTCCCATTAAATATGTCTTGTATGGACCTAGCCTGCACTTGGTAAGAAGAAAAAAAAAAAGATCATTTATATGAAAGGGAGGAGTACTGTACGTCTCCAAGATTATTCATTACCTTTCAAAAATGAAGCTATTTGTGAAGTCTTTGTGTAACACATACATGAAAGAATACTACGCTGCTTGCTTAAAGTATTTTCTTGTGCTCCTGCTTTCTTATTCCTGCCTCGGATCAGATGGGGACCCCTTCCGAATAAAGCAATGAAGAAGACATTGCAATTTACGGTCGAAAGAAAGAAAGAAAGAAAGAAGGAAAAGGAAAGAAAGAAAGAAACGTACACGATGATTGAAATAAAAGACCCCATACCTGAGCTGGAGGGTTTAGAAACTCTTCCCTTAGGAACTGGGAGTAACAATAATTCCAAGGACTGTGGTGGTGGTGGCGGAGGCGGTGGAGGCGGTGGCGGGGGTGGTGGGGTTACTTTCTCTTGCTTCTTCTCTGAAGGCGGTGGCGGTAGAGGGTCCTCAGGCACCAGTGATGATTTCTCAGCCAGAAGACTCCCAGCAGCCCTTGCTGCTACCTCTTTCAGAAGGGCCGCCGAGGAGGTCATGGAAGCCAGGGAAAGGAAAGAGCTGGCCGGGGGTGGGTGTTCCTGACCGGGAGTCAAGCTTCTCTCACTGACTTTCTTGGATAAGGCTGCCAGCGTGGAACTGGCAGACTGGGAGCTAAAAGGGGAGGAAAAGGACTCAAATCGCATGGTCTCCTCAGTCCTGGTGAGAGATTTGTCCTGCAGAACGGCATTGGCTGCGGCTTTCAGTTTGAGGATGGCTGAATCCGGAGACAAGCCGCAGGTGGTGGTTGAGTTTGACAACCACTTACCTTGATTCCATATAAAACGGTTACTTGGAGCGTATTGGTCATTCTGTTCCTGCTTCTCAGCCAACTTCCTGGCAAGAACACTGAGCTGCTGGGCATGGTGGGACGGTGGGGAAAAGGAGAGATTTGAGCCCACGTTCACTGGGGACTCCACCCTGCCATTGGCCGTGGCGGTGGCATCGAGTTTGAGGGAGCCAGCCTCCAGCAGCCGCCTCAGGTTGCTGCTCAAGGGCTTAGTGGAGCCTGGGGGGTCATCCTCACACAAAGAAGACACGCCAGGGGAGAGGTGATCTTGACATTGCAGTGAGTCTCTCAGGACCTCACCGTCAAGTCCCACCAGCTCCAACGTGTGACTGCTGGGAGTGGCACTTCCCAAGGAGGTGTCAGGGGAAGTGGACTGCTCTTGGATCCGGTCCTCCAGAGACAGCTTATAGTTCTCCTGGACTTCTCCATAGGATGCTTCTGACGGAGTCTCTGAAGAGTTTCCATACCAGTGCTCTCCTTCACTGAGTTCTCCCTCCGCCTCTTCCAGCCTACTAACATCTGGGGGAATTAAGAAGATCAAGTTTACTCCCCAGTGGGCAACAAGCAAGTCTGAAGACATTCAAACGGAGTTGTTGACATGCTTCCTCTTCCCCTCGCCCCAAGAACCACAAGAGAGACAGCAGCAACCTTACCAGAATGTCAGGTGCTGAGTCAGACAGTCTTGGCAGAAGCCTTCTGAGAGAAGGTAAAATACTAAACAGGCAAAGGTAAAAACACACCCACCTACGAAACATATTCATCTTTCTATAATTATTCCAGACAAATTGAAATGGAAAAGAGGGAGAGAGAAAAATGGATCTGGGAGAGAAGTAACTGCATGAAGAGACTGCTATTCTCAGTGGTGGGGGAAATGGAAAGAAACACGTTTCCTTGTTAAAAAAAAAAAAAAAGAAAGAAAGAAAAAAGAAACCGGCATGATATCTTTAGTGTCGCATCAGAATTAGAGAGGCAGCCTGGCAGGGTGGGAAAATGTTGTCTGTGAGGCACAAGACAGTGGGAAGCCGCTTCCCCACTTTCTGATTCCACGACCTCAGGCAAGTCGCTTAGCTGGTTTGATAGAAGAGGCAACTGACTTTTTTTGAAAAGTTCATCCAACGATGTAAATACTACCTGCCTGTTAGATATTACAACTGCATCCAATTGTTATGAAGCTTAAATCACAATAAGCATGTGACTGTGATTTGCAAACAGGCAAGAACTATATAAAAATCAGATCTCATTCGCAAACACTGCTCACATTACCGATTTCTTAAAGTGACAGCATTTCCCATGTTATGCATGTTACTTCTTTGAGAGTCCTGGATTCCGATTACCAACATGCCTGCCATCTTATCACAGGCAATGATTAAGAATTTCTCTCCTCACTCCACTAAGAGTCTCCTTTCATTATTTTCCGTCCATTGATTTTTCTTTCCACCACTACCACACTGACTGCCCACAAAGCACCGCTCCGTTGGGACTCCCAGCCATTCCAAGAGCACCCATGAGCTCTGTCATTGTTCTACCTTTGCTCAAGATATTCCTTCCATCAGGAATGTCTTTCCTCAGAAAACCTGACTATTTATCCTTCGCCTGCCAGCTCAAAAGTTTCTTCCTTGTGATTCTCCCCGGAACTCTCAGAATTAATCTCTCCTTTCTCATTCATTCACTTATCCAACAAACAACTGTGGAGTATGCGTGGCATGCCAGGCATTGTTCTAGATCATTCTAGACTGGACCAGACTGAACCACACTGAACGAAAATCCTGCCTTCGTGGAGCTTCATATCCCAGGAGAGGAAGATAGATGGCACACAAAATTTAAAAACTAGTAAGTCATACAGTAAGCCGGAGGTTGGGAAGTGCTATGGGAAAAGATAGAAAGCAGGGCAAGGAGGATGGGGGGAATAACAGGTAGGAGGGAAGTTGCAATCTTAAATAGGATGGGCATATGGGGCCTCACTGAGGTGGTGACATTTGAGCAAAGACTTGAAAGAAACGAGCAGTTGTTCATTTAGCTCCCTCTGGGAGAGCGTTCCATGCAGAGGGAGTCACTGTAAAGGCCCTGATGTGGAAACACGTGTCCGTGGCCCAGCGAGGAGGCTAGTGTGGGTAGAGTGCGGTGAGTAGGGGTCAGAGCAGAAGGAGAGGAAGTCAGAGAAGTAACATCAGAGAAAGAGAGGGAGGGGAGAGAGCGAGGATGGGTGTGTGTTGTGAACCAGTGAGGCCATGCAGACCTGCAGAACACTGTAAACTGTGGAAAGGTCTTTTGCATCTGGTGACATTGGGAACTACCAGAGGGCTTTGATACGATATGGCTTACATTTTCTTTCTTTTTTTAATTTTTTAAATGTTTGTTTATTTTTGAGGGGGGGCGGGAAGGGGCAGAGAGAGGGAGACACAGAATCTGAAGCAGGCTCCAGGCTCTGAGCTGTCAGCACAGAGCCCGACGCGGGGCTCGAACTTGGGAATGGCGAGATCATGAAGTAGGTTCAAGTCAGACCTTAACTAACTGAGCCACCCAGGCACCCCTGATGTGACTTACATTTCCAAAGCGCTGTTCTGGCTGCTGTGTGGAAAAGAGGCTACAGACACAGGGTGGAAGCAGGGAGACCAGCCAGGAGGCTGGAACCCAGGTGAGGGATGACAGTAGCTCAGCTCAAGGTGACTGCCAGCGGTGAGAAGCAGCAACGTTCCGTGCAACTTTTGAATGCAGAGCCAACGTTCCCATGTTCTGTTTACACTGATTTTACATCACTCTAAATTATCTACTATAGACTTATCTTCTAAAAAGTAAGCGGTGGTGTTTCTTGAAGGCAGGGATCATGTTCTATCATCCACACATCCCCCACTGTGCCTAACACGATGCCCGGACCCCAGAGGAGTTCAATGAATGTTTAGGAATTGAGCTAAAATTTCCCATTGTGCCAAGTTTTGCTATATGATATGGTGTCTCTTTTCTGAATAGAAGTAGTTGAACTAGTAATGCATGAGCTACAAGCTGATACATTGATCTTCCCATGCTATTTAGAGAAGAAATGTCACAAATGACAAATTCTCTTTCACTAAGCTAAAGTTCCATGACTCCTTCCTGAGATTCTTTATTAAATTATCAAGAAAATGTAAAATATCAAATGGAATTTGCTGAAAAAAGGCAGATAAAATTGAATTTTCTCTGTTAAAAACAGTCTGGTTCCTTGTGATTTGCCACATTTCCTTCTTCCCACTCCATTTCAACATTTTTCATCTTCGCTGAAACCAGTACGACCCTAAACTACTCATCTCCCCACGGGCTTCTCCAAGAGATGCTTTTTTTTTTTTTTTTTTTTTTTTTTTTTTTTTTTTTTACCAAACATCAAGTAGTCAACATCCATTTCAACGAGAGGGCTAATTTTGTGTTCCTTTGGTAAGCCACCTTTCTTGATTTCAGTTTAAATATCTTATCCTTCAGAAAAATCACATGGGAACGATCCTGTAAATAGTAAGAGAAGTAAAAGAATCACTACAATAAGAACAGTTGAGTATCTCAAGGAATTTCTTCTCTGATCTTTATTGATGCTCACTGAAAGAACGTAGGAAAACAAATGATTCAAAAGTGAGTACTTTCAGATGATATTTTTGTCACACTAGAGTAGCTCCAGATAGTCAAGACTGGTCCAGAACCAATGTGGTGTCAGTTAACAAGGTGCCTGAAAGCAGGGTTTTGAGAACCACAAAAATCCATAACCACATGTCCCAGCTCGTCATTTTACTGAGACTATTAAATATTCTGAGGGAATATCCTGGTGGGATCAAAAGCACATAGCTACCTACTGTTAATGCCAGAACCAAGAACCCAAATCACACAACAACTGGCCCAGTGCTTCTCTGCAAAGCCCCAATGCACCGCCCGCCAGATGCCCTCTGAATGGCATCTTCTAGTTGTCAGAAACTGCTGCCCTCCTACTCCTGGTCATCCATGCCTCCACGCTCTAGAAACAGAAATCAGCAAGAGAATTCTCATAGATAAGGACAGTATTCACTCCTTATCTTAGGATAAACCATTCAGAGGTAAGTATCCATTATTCCCATATTCTAATCTCTCCATTCCTTCCAGGCAACTTCTTTGTTGGTGATCAAAAGCTGATTCAACCACCTCTAGTATTCAGCACTTCTACTGGCAAAGCCCCAAAGGCATAGCTTAATTTCCTACCCCCTCCACACCCTCAGTGAGCAAGACTAGTCCCCCTCCAAATGTGCTGAGGCTGGTGAGTGCATCGAAAACTAAAGCTGTCCTGGGGCGCCTGGGTGGCTCAGTAGACTAAGCGTCCGACTTCGGCTTAGGTCATGATCTCAGTTTGTGAGTTTGAGCCCCACATCGGGCTCTGTGCTGACAGCTTAGAGCCTGGAGCCTGCTTCAAATTCTATGTCTCCCTCTCTCTGCTCCTCCCCTGCTCACGCTCGGTCTCTCTCTCCAAAAATAAATAAAAACATTTAAAAAAAATTAAAAAAAACAAGAACAAAACTAAAGCTGTCCATTCAGGCTCTAATCCTACCAAGCAGTGATCAGGAGATCCGAACATTCTTGAATGATACAAAAACAGTTGATATCTACGTTTAGAGAAACTTTCCCAACCTTGCCAAAACATAAGAGCCCAACAAGCAAACCAAGCATCTCTTAAACGGACCATTTTACGGCCTCTAAAATAGCTGGATGTTTCTCAACCAACCCATTCCCGGTTCTTTGTGGACGTGACCACCTAGATACACTCTCTTCCTGACTGCAAGAAAACTCGGATATGTAGAGTATTTTTTAACTCGCAATACTCCATTCATCACTTTTCTGAAGATGCTGCTACTAAAATTGAGACTATTCAAGTAATAAATCACCAAATAATTTCAACGCACATAGCCTAGGAGGAGCCAGACCAGAAACCCGAAAAGAAACATTTTTGAAATTATTCTGGCATCACCTGAGGTCAAGCAGAAAGTGGGGGAAGCTTTCAGAGACATGAATGCAAGAGAAGTGGAGACCTGCAGAGGTTGGAGAAAAATCATAAGCGGCTCAAACAAATATGCTTTCAGCTCAAAACAGCAGCAACAAGGATTTTCTCCCACAAATATTAATTCTCCTCCCCCTGCTGGGCTGCTCTGTATTTCACATCTGAATTCATCCAGGAGATGTCCTTGAAGGCTGCATCGGTCCAGTTACGGGGAGCTCCCCTTCGGCGGGGTGTGCAGGAGCCCGTAGCACCTTTCACACCACATTATGAGAAAAGATTCTCATTGGAGAAGCTCAAAACAAAGCATTCTGGCAATCTAGGGGATTAACTTGTTGGACACCACAAACTTTACAACAAGCCAGGCTTGACTTTTGACTCTCTTTCACAATTCGAGAAGCCCCTGGGCAGCGAGACAGCTCCATTTTCCTGTCCGTCAGGAGCACAGAATCATGGCACGTAATCTCTGAGCACCCCACATGCTGCGGTCCCGGAAACGCTTCCTGAGCACATGGACTGTGGATTTCACAGCTTTCCTAACTAAGGCTCCCAGGGGAAGCCTCTAAACGGCCAATGTAAATAACTTCCTTGTAAATACATTA